TTTAGTTAGATGAATTATCCGTAGTCGAGTGGTATGGTTGGCTTTCCAGCTTCTCGGGTGAAGACTGTTGCCCAACAATAGCCTTAAAACGAGTTTTGGGTCTGATTCTACAATGGTTTAAGTTGTCCAAATTCACAATGGCCATATACTGTATAACAAGGTTGTATGATTGGATAAGTGACCAAAGGAAGTCAGAAAAGCACTTGAATGCATCGTATCCATAATCGAGAACCCGAGGATTGAACCCAAACTAACTCAAGGACGTAGAACCCGGTAATCGAGCGTAGAACCCAATAATCGAGCTTGGGTAAGTAAACTTTAAGAAATACTCTCGTGTCTACTCCATGAGGATTGGCTCTTTGGACTAAAAACTTAGACTCTAAGCAGATTTCAACCGCTTTCGCTATGAGATTGACTCTCTTCGGCTATTTAGGGTTATTTTCAGAGACATGTTTTCTTTCGGAACAATTACAAAAATACCACTTTTGGATTGTCTATTTGCAAAAAATATCACTATGGGTTGTACATTTGTAAAAATACAACTAATTATGGAATTTTAAAACCTAAATCTTAAAATTCTTAAGCCTAAAAAATGTTTTGACCCCTAAACACTCTTAAACCCTCAAAACTAAACTCTAACACAATATAGTTGACACAAACATAAATGATATAACGAAAAAATAATTTTTAAAAGTTATATTTTTATAAAATTTTTGAAAATATTGCATTTTTGAAAAATGATACTTTGAAAATGGCATTTCTATATTTTCTTTCTCTTTGTCATTTTGTTCCATCAATTGTTTAATAATTTGTTTCTTTTTTGGTAGAAATATAATTTGTTTGTTAAACGACATTTATCACTTATGTATCCGTCTTTTATATGCTACCGAAAGTTACAAATTTTGTTTTTTTTGTAAGTTACAAATATTTTAGCAAATGATTTACGTGTAACTTCATTACAACATGCATGATGAGACGTGTGTCGTTGGATTGAACGGCAAGATTAACTCATGTAT